CACACACATTTATATATGAAGAAATGTAAAAAAAATGGACTGAAACTGACTTGTGTCGTAAACGGTGTCAGCTTCTTCTTGTTGATGGTTCTTTCATCAATAGTGTCTGGAACTGACAGGTTGATCATTTTGCTGTTTGAAGACAAAAAATAAACATCTTATACCATATTTTATGACAATATTGGTTTTCAAGAGTGTGGCTAAAAAAAATAAACAGGAAATCTTATATCCGACAGGTTCTAGGGAACAAATATACCATCACGTTTATTTACACAATGAAAAGTTGTAGACTGTGCTTTTCTATTTATAGTTGTAGTAGTAAAAAATAAAATAAAAAACATAATGGGCTCATACTAGTATTTATTTTTTATTTACTTAATCTACAGAGCTGTGTTATCTGACTAAATCCTGGTAAAATTTACCATTTCAACCGGAATGTAGGCAAACAATTTGGCATCTTTGGAGCTCCATACATGAATTTGAAACGCAAATTACAGTTTTTATTTTACATTTGGTGCCAAATGTTGCTTTTTGTCAAATGGTTCAATGTACTACACATTTATAGTGATGTTTTTGATTTAGTTACAAAACTTTGGAAGTATTTTTCAAAATTTCAGAATACACTGAGACGTCAACCAAATTCAAAATATCTTGATCCAGGCAAAATAGATTTGTTTTAAATCAATACAACATTTTATGACAATATTACTCGTAAAACTTTTCTTTCAAACAAGAATGCAACTATAAATCGAGTAGAGTGTGAAGCAGAAGTGATTGTGTCATAGGTGACAGAGGACAGGAGCTCTCACCAGAGCACAATCCCGTCTCCCAGGGCTGAGAACAGAGCGTCTGTGTTGGGATCCATGGGCAGGACATGCTGACAGTCGGGGTCTTTTTCCAGGGCAGTGTTGATCCAGTTCACAAAAGCATATCGCTCCTCCTCTGTGGGAACAACAGGTGCTTGTTAAGATCAAAATAATAATTTACGCCACATTGTCACCCATAATGGCTCATTACAGAAGGTCACTTTGTCCATTACGGCTTTCTTCGTCTGTAGCTGAGCTGCAGAGGGTTCAAAGTCAACAGCCCACAACAAACAAACATTAGCAGCGTCACCCACCGGAGTACGAGTGTTGTGTGCCTTCGCTCGACAGCTCCGACGTTCCTCCGATAGCCAGGATGCCTTCTTTTCTGTTAATGGCCTTACGGAAGGTTTTTGCTACTTGGCTGCCCTTTAGGTCCTTCACGATCTACAATAATAAACAATTAACAATATGACCCAAAAAATAATATAAAATAAAACAGCCTTCATTGACATTTAAAAAGACAGCTCAGATTTTAAAAAGTGGGGTACTGGGGAAAGTTTGTGTGAACAAATAGCTTACCTGTTGTAGATGGCTCTTTCAAGGATCTCAGTTTGGAGAAACAAGAGCTTAATTCTGACCAGACTGATGAGCTAAAGGCTAGTCAGAGCGAGGCTAAGACCACAGTATATCGTCATCTGAAAACAACCCTGATCTAGAAAAATATACAACGGCTTAATCATATAGTATTTTATAAGCCTTGGTATCGCCTCGCCTACTTATTTACATAGAGGTCTTTGGTTATTTGAAAGCACAAGTGATGGCAGCAGCAGCAACTAGCTGTAGCACTTCCAGTTCAGCCGTGGTCCCTTCCTGTAGGAATATCAATTTTTCCCACCAGATTATAATGCAAAACTGATAATGTAAAAGTTTATGCTCAAACCACTGCCTTTAGCTCGTCAACCTAGTCAAAATTAAAACTTTTATTTCTCTAAACTGAGCTTTTTTCAGAACTTTTCCACAATTTAAAAGATCTGAAATAAATGCTTTGAGGTTTCATTTGACACATCTTCATATGTAGTGGTGTTTTTGTGCTTAAATCAAAAGTGTTGCGTTTCATTTAAACCAGTACTGCACAGCTGTGAATTTACAAAATACTTTTATTGTTAGTTTGATCAAATTGTTGCAAATACCTTTAAAGCTTTTTTTTAAATACTTCTAGTAATTTACCTTTATGTACATCTGTGCAAACCCACGCTGTTAAATGAAGACACCCTGCAGGAAGTTCTACTATCAAAGACCTGACCGCTACTAGAAAACGTTACATTCACTAATACTTTTAATTATACTTGTACAACGGTAAAGACTCACCACAGTAAACGTCAGCTAAATCTGTACGCAACTTTAAAAAAAGTCTACAGATCTTCATCTCTCCCGATGACGTTTCACTGTTGTTGGGTAAACACCGGATCGACCTAAACTAACCAGTTTTTATTTTAAATGTAATCAAATGCCATCAGTCGCACCACTACACAGACTCGCCCTACTAAAGTCCACAACAAACCGGGTATATACAGTTTACACAAAGTTAAATACTGACAATGGATCTATGCACTTTGCACTTCAGTTCGCTGATGAACTTATCAAGGTATCAAGGCACCTGTCAAAGAATGTGGACACACTTGTTCAAAACGAATGGGGGAAGTGTCCTCCAGCTTTTCACATCAGAACCAGTCTTTTATATTTACATACAAGAGGCAGCACCAGGTGCAAGGGTAGAGCCAGGGGGAGGGTCAGTGATGGCCGTGGCCACCATAACTTAACCTTTGTCCACCCCAGTCATTTGAGGAAACTATACTTTTAAACAATATAAAAACTAGAAAGCAGAGTTCATGGTACCGACATCCATTTCGATGTGTGGCTGCATTTAGATGCAAGAAAGGTGACCATCAAAAATTGGGTCACCACGTCAAAATCCAAGATGGCCCCCGCCATGTATAAATATAAACTGACCGCCCCCATCGTTTGAGAAAACTTTTTATATTGCTAAGAAGTAAAGTTTCATGAAAAGATTGTGGTGGCCGAAGACTAATCTATAGTGGCCAAGGCCACCATTGGCCACCCCCTGGCTCTGCCATTGTGGCTGGTGGAGGATAAAATTGCTCCTCCACTCACCAGGTCCCGTCACTCTGCCCTGCCTCAGAAAAATAACAAATAAAACAAAACCTACCTCTGTTCTTAAGCATGAGGGAAGAGAGGTGAAACTGCTACCCACTTGAATTTCTTACACCCAAAACATTAAGGTTTACTTACTTAGGTGAGCATGCATCAGGATATTAAGGTTTACTTGTTTTCCCTGTTCAATTCCAGTCTAGAAAAACACTCATCTCAAAAACTACAAACACCACTTAAATCCCCAGAAACGGGACATCTGCGTTTAAGATGCAGCTCACCAGCATGCCTCTGCTCCATCCGATAGTAAATCGGTTTGAATGAGAGGGAGTCTTTATCTGCCAGAGTTAGATATGACTGTGTGGGTTATAGAAACAACAATCATCAACACTAACAAACAAACTGTTCTAAGAATAATAAACGTCAGCATCATGACCAAACGGCTGATCCCGTCACATTTCATTAAGTGGATTTATCAAATGAGGGAATACATATTAGTAAATCCACAAAAAACTTACTTTAGACAGTGAGGTTTGCTCCCAAAAATCAACAATTAAGTCCAAATATTAACTATTTTGAAAGGATTCTAATGAATTAATCATTTTTTCAGTAACTGTAATAGTGTTTAAAAAAAGTCTGAATCATATTTTCTTGTCTCTCCCCTCTTCTGGTAGCTGCTGAGGCAGCCACTTTCAGGCAGGATTTTCCCCCTCACTGGCATGAAAACATAAAGCCAGTCAATCTGCTAAAAGGCTGAGAAGGCCCGATGATTCACTGAGTTAGGGCACCGAGTCGCCCCGATCATGACGGCTTGAACTGCAGTTTACTGCACGTATAATCTGAGCGTTCCAGTGTGTGGGAGTCAGTGTGCCATTCAGGTGAACAGAAAGGGTAAAACAAGAGCGCTGCAGGCGTCATCCTCCAGACTAATGTCTAATCCAACATTAAATCGGTCTCAACAACACAAAAGGGAAATATAGACTTCTCTATGCCTTATCAGTAACACAACGTGTGTGAGCGGCTCTGATAACGTGCACAGTACGGTAATGCAGGCCACACTTCCTGCAGCCGAGGTTATCAAGGCTTCATCAGCGAGTGCATGCCAGCAGGCGTTGGCAGGACCACAATGGGCGACATAATTAAAAAGCAGCAGCAGTTTTTGCCACAGACACACATTTATGTTACAAGATTACATTTCTTTAGTGACAGAAGTCAACAAAACAACCACAGCCATGTCTGGATAAGGAAACATGTCAATTTAAAGCTGCAAATTTAGCCAAACAACTGTTTTTTTTCCATCGTAAATACATGTCGGGGATGTGAGGAGGATATCAGAAATCACGAGACATGTGTTTAACTTCGGCTGTGAAGATAAAACCCTGATTGGTAAAGTGGTGTTTTCACCAAACCCCGTGGTTCTCTTGTCTCACACAGAACGGAAACACACAGATGTTTGTTTCAGCATCTTTGATCAGAATTAGACTGAAAAGCCCATGAAACAATAAAACTAGAGAAATTGCATTTCCTGTGAAAATGCTGTGTGAATGACTGAATGACTGTTGCTGAAAGCAGCTGAAAAGGTTCATCGATAAACAGTTCATGCAAGTTAAATATGAACAGCTGAGCAGCAAAAGAAAAGCAGAAGAGAAGCGTCAGAAATGTGTAGAAAATGCTGAACAGAGCATAAATGTAGCAGAATAAACTAAAATAGGCAAAGAGGTTGAACAGACTAAAATAAAATCTGAAATTAGAAAAAAGGTAGCTGATTAAACTAAAATGAAGAAAAAATGAGCAGAGAGAAGCTGAAATGAGCAGAGAGAAGCTAAAATGAGCAGAGAGAAGCTAAAATGAGAAGAGAGACGCTGAAAAGAGCAGAGAGACGCTGAAAAGAGCAGAGAGACGCAGAAAAGAGCAGAGAGACGCTAAAATGAGCAGAGAGACGCTAAAATGAGCAGAGAGACGCTAAAATGAGCAGAGAGACGCTGAAATGAGCAGAGAGACGCTGAAAAGAGCAGAGAGACGCTGAAAAGAGCAGA